CTGGTCTCGATCACAGCGATCCTCCTGCCTCAGCCTCCTGAGTGCTGGGATTACAGGCATGCGCCACCATGCCAGGCCCAGATCTCCATTTTTATGCTGAAGGATGAGGATGAGGTCTAGGTTACCACCAAGCCCAGGCTGTCATCCTTGCAAGGATCAACTTGTACTACCAGGTAGCAGCTTTAAAGAGTTCACGTGCAAGCTTGCTTCTGCCTCCAAAACAGGGACAATGGCACAGAGGGCCCCAAGCCAGAAGTTGCCATGACCATCCCTCCAGGGCCATAGCTTTCTGTGCTCTGTGTCCCCATTTCCTGGAGATGCGACTCAGACCTCCAAAGCTGAGCCCTGCTCATGTCCTTCTCAAGCTCGGAGCGGCCCCAGACACTAGGATCACCCAGACCCAGGCTCAACCCTTCCAACCTGTGCCCTCCACTGTGCTCCTGCAGTGCCCCCTACCTTGCACTCAGTCCTATCTCCGCACAGACTGGGCAGTTCCCCAGAAAAACCTCAGCAGACCACTGCCCCGCAGGGTGCATCTCACTCTTTAGCTCTGGAGCCAGCCTTGCCCCTCTCTTCTGGCCTCTGAGAATCTGTCACCCTCTCCCTGCTGAAGTGACTCCTCGGGCAGGCATCCAGCATGGTGGGGCCAAGTGGTGAGTGCTGAGTGAACCAACTCATCCCCAATTCTGTTTTCTTTTTCATGTCTAAACCTGGAGTTTCTGTTCTTTCTCTTGTTTTACTAATAATCTTTTCAATACAATAATTACTTGGTTAACTACACACATTCCATAAATGGCGACACCTAACACATCATGTGAAAGATTTCTTAGTCCTGTCTGAACCCTGCACAAGAGCACCAGGTTGGCTCAGAATGAGTGTGGAACAGCTATCACATGTGGGACCTGGAAAGCTGACTGAGGAGGAAAGTGGCTGACCCTTTTTGAGGAGCACTAAGATTAAAGGAAGTTTAGGACACAGATATGTAAAGCAGTGCTCATTTCTCTTGGGGCAGTACAGCCCCAGAGCCAGTGCTTTTTCACGCTACCGAAGCACGAGGAAGAAGCCCAGTCCCCCTGCAGAGTGAACCCTGCTACTAATCCAGGCCACACCTTCCTCAAAACCATACCCTCTACAAGGCCACACCCACCAAAGCCACACCCCAGCGGTCACACCTTCCCCAGTTCACACCCAGCACAGACCACACCTCACAGAGGCCACACTTCTCAGGCCACACCCCTCAAATCCACATCTCAGAGGCCATGCTCTCCTCACAGAGGCCACACCCTCTTCACCTGCTGCTGTGGCCAGGCAGGTGTGCCCTGCTGCTCTCTGGGGGCCTTGGTGAGGGGAAGGTCATCACAGGGGACACCCTGGCAGCCATAAGCCCACCTGGGTTGGAGAGCCCAGGCGTTTCCCTGACAAGAATGCAGGGAACCCTCTATGCTTCTAGCCAAACTGTTCCTTGAGCCATTAGTCAGAGTCTCCCCGTCTGTGCACCACCTGCAATGTGCTAGGAGCAAGAATTTTACTGCCACGGGGAGGAGGGCTGCCAGATCAGCACAGATGCAGTCTCCAAGGAAACACATTTTTAAAAGCACATATTGGTCACTGCTTCATCATGTATGCCACACGCTGTGGGCACCCGAGAGTGAGGAGCACGCAGACTGCCCTCCCTGACTAGGCCACTCACAGACATGCTGGCCAAGCCCTGAGCACACTCAGACCCTCCAGTCACAGCAGGGTGTGCCCGTTGTGGCCGGGCTCCAGGGAGCTGCACACAGCTGCAGACGTGGCACTGCACACGTGCTATTCCCCAGCACCAGCCCTCCTGTGCTGGCCTCCCTGGCTGCTCTCCCACCGTGGGTCTGCTTTACCTGACGACTGGCCCATCAGATTTTGAGCTTCTTCGGAGGAGTGTAAAGGCAGCTTTTCTCCTGGAGAGCAAAGAAGAGAGAGGTTTAATGTTTTGCCCTCAAGGAGATAAGCAAGGTCCCTTCAACTAAGGAAGCTCAAAATATGACTGACACAGTGCAGCCGACCGCGTGTCCAGTGTCACCAGCCACAGCCGGCCAGCTCTGCCTCCGTGGGAGGGACCTGCCACCTGTTGCCTCATTCAGCCTGGGCTAGGGCTGGCTCCTGTCACCACTTCCTGTCACTGGAGCGCCTGCTCCTGGGATGACCACGAAGAAGCCTTCACAGGAAGGCCCCCTGGGGTTATGTGTGGGCAGCACAAAGCCCTGCTCTTGAGCAGGGACCCTCGAAGTGCAGAGGTTGCTTCGCAGGTAGGATGTGAAAGGCCAGGTGAGATGAATCAGCCCACAGCAGGACAGACCGACCCCCACCCGGCCATGACCACACAAAGCCCTGTGACAACTGCACCGCTCACTTCACTGTGCAAGGACAGCTCAGAGAAAAGTCCCCAGGTGAGAAGAGAGGAGGTCAGAAAAGGGCAGCTGGGTACGTACCGGGGAAAGCGGGGTTGGTCTGTCCGAGGGGAGGAAAGGGGGTTTGCTGCATGGCCAACTGGTGGAGCTTGGTCAACTGCTGGGGGTAGGAGGGACACGAGAACTAAGAAGGTTATTGTCATTGAGTACAAATCACACCAAATCAAAAATGCAGTAACAGAACTTTGCACAGATAAAGAGGGCCATGCGGACACATGGCAGACGCAGCAGGACTCAAGGACTTGGCCTGGTGGAACCAAGGAGCAGCTGTCAGCAGTGTGGCCTGAACCAGCCACATCTCTCCTCACCAGACTGGCAGGAGGGAGGGTGGTAGGGGCCGTGGGCTAGGGGCTACAGGGGAGGCTGAGGTCCACAGAGAGGGGGTCGGTGGGGGTCCTAGGAGGCTTGCAGGATCCAGAGAGGTTGCTTCCAGCCTCGCCCTAGTTCCAATCCTGCAGCCACTGCTAGGGAGCTTCCTGGTTATGACTTGCAGGGAGTTACTGGGTATGAGGAATGCCAAGGGACTAGGATAGGTTCTCCTCGGGGAGTAGCGCATGGGCTCCATTTCTTAGGTAAAAGCAGAACAGTGAATACAGGGTAAGCGTGGTCAGATTAGGCTACCCCTTGAGAGTAAAAGGGCTGGCGGGGTGCTGGGTGAGGGGCTCTGGGACACAGTGCCCCAGAGTTGGGCCTGGACACTTTTTCCCAGAGCTGGTGGGTGGGGTAACTCTGAGACAGTACACACTGTCTCCCTCTGTCTCACAGGCAGGACACTTAGGGAGCGGAACTGTCGTCCCCACTGAGTGGCTAGCTGTGGACTAGGTCCCTGAATCCTGGAGACTGCCAAAGGCAGTGCCCTACCCAGCTTCCCTGTGAGCTCCTGCAGGCAGGGGTATATGGCTCCAGGTGCAGGGCATCCTCGCCAGGACTTCAGTCCCCAGCAAAGGTGAATTCTCCAGCTCTAGGAGGGTCAGGGGTGGCACTCCCAGCTCTGCTCTGCGGGTGTGATGAGAATGGAGCTCCTGGGCACTGGCTGGCCAGCCCCACTCTTCCCACTTCTGCAAGGGATCCCACGAAGGAGGCTGCCTGCGGCCCCAGGGTCACACCTTGAGACAACTTTATCAGACGGGCTCAAGACTGCAGCAGAGGCTTACAGGGATAGCCTGTCTTCCCTGGCCCACGTCCCTGGCCCCTGGCCCTCTCAGAGGGCTGGTTTCTGCCTTTGCCAGGAAGAGGGCACGAGCCCACAAAGGGACATTGTGAAAGAAGTCCCCTGATTCCCCACCACCTGCCCCTCTGCATTCTTGGATGTTTCCTGAGCCCTGCAGCTCAGCACTGAGCCTGCTGCTCAGGAAACCTGGACTCAGTCAGGATGCCTGAAGCAGCTCAGGTGAGGAACATGGTGCTCTGGGGTCGGCTTCAGCTCCGAGTCCCCTGAGAAGTGGTGTACGGCATAGCCTTGACAGGGACTGCAGGGCTAATACAGGCAGATGAAGCTCAGGGGACTGTCACCACTTCCTGTCACTGGAGCGCCTGCTCCTGGGCTGGCCACGAAGAAGCCTTCACAGGAAGGCCCCCTGGGGGTATGTGTGGGCAGCACAAAGCCCTGCTCTTGAGCAGGGACCCTTGAAAGGCAGAGGTTGCTTTGCAGGTAGGATGTGCAAGGCCAGATGAGATGAATCAGCCCACAGCAGGACACACCGACCCCTGCCTGGCCATGGCCACAAAAAGCCCTGTGACAACTGCACCACTCACTTCACTGTGCAAGGACAGCTCAGAGAAAAGTCCCTAGCTTGTGTCTGTCTGCTCCATGACTCAATACTGTGGCACTTTAGCTATCTGAATGGATATGGTGACCAGAAACCAGTGTCACCAGGACGGCAGCCCAAGTCACAGGGCAGATGACAGGGGAGGGCCTGAGGGGCAACAGGAGTGAGAGGACTGCACTCCTGGACACAAGTATCACAGAGCACCCCGGGCTGCAGCCCTCAAGTGGGCCTTGGCTGCTATGGTGATCAGTGTGTGTGGCAGGCTGGGGAGCCCTGGCAACTGCACACCATCGCACCTGCTACTCCTGCGCACCTGCCAGCACATAATGTGCCCAACCAGGACAGCTCCCTCTGTCCACCCAGTGTCTCTGGAGACCACACAGCCTGCTCTGGCCCAGATGGCAGGAAGCCAGACACACCCCAGTGAAGGGATGAGGCAGCTGGCCCACACCCAGGTGTGCAGAGGGAAGACCTGGTCTCCCAGGCCTCAGCTCCCTCATGAGGACATGGAGTCTGTCTGTGAATACAGCTTGCATAGTGCAGTCCACATGTCAACTAACCCCCAGGGGCCTCCCTCACCCACTGCCACATACCCTGCCATCTTTCCTCCTGCTGGCCACACAGGTAACACCTGCCCACCAGCTTGTTATAGGCAAAACAAGTCCTGACAGAGTTGGCTCCCTTGGCATTCAGACTTTGAAATTCAGAAGCTCAGTAGTTCTGCAACTCTAACCTCCCTTCATGCAATATTTTTTGCCTATTATTTTTTCATTTTATGGTACTGGAAATTAAACTGAGGCCCTTCACCCTGAGCTACATTCCCAGCCTGTTTTTAGTTTGAGACAGGGTCTCACTATGTCCTTAAATTACCCAGGTGGGGCTTGGATTTTTGACCCCTCTGTCTCAGCCTCCAAGGGTGCTGGGATTACAAGCATGTGCCGCAATGCCTGCTCATATTTTTTGCTTTTTATGAAGAAATGGCCACACTAGCAAATCAGTGCCTGGCCCATGGTATACAGTGATGTCACAAATGAAGGATCCTGGGTGGGCATTTGCCTGGTGAGTGGGTAGGCAGAGGTCAGTGGCACTTTCCTTGTTTTGGCTCAGTCCTGCTTTAACTGAGCCACCTTATCTCTTGGGATCTGCATTTCTACGCTTTGCAAAAAGGAGGGGACAACACTAGGTGCTGAGGGGCCTTCTACTCGGAGATATTTCTGCCATTTAAAAAAAATTGTACTTTTGGCTCCAGGGCCTTGAAATCATTGGCAGGGAAAGGAAGGAGGAAAGAGAGAAGGAGGGAAGAAAGGCAGGAGGGAGCGGGGAGGAGAGGGAAGGTAGTGTGCGTGCACACTTGTGTCACATTACCGGTCCTCCTGCAGCTCTTTTCCACTTAGCATCACATCAGAACACAAAACAGACAGTCAAAGTGCCTGTAAGCATGTGTCTCAATGAGCCACTCAACACAGGCATGCAGCTGTCCTGGCCAGGGCACAGGCCTGCTGGGTGGCCCGGGGCTCTCCTGCAAATGCTGCCTTCCGCACAGCTCTCCTGTGGCCAGGGGGCCCCACTTTTCAGAGGCTGGTCCTGCAGCTGCTCCTGTGTACATAGATCTGCTCTCTCCCGTGGTGCCTCAGGAAGCACAATTCTAAGGGTCCAGTGAAGTCAAGTTCATCAAAACTTTCCTTTTTGGTCTGAGTCTCTGTTTTCTCTCTCTCATGTTCTTGATACACTGTATCAGACATTCCTGCCTAGTATTAGCAGGCTGTAAGTGGCACATGCTTCCTGCTTTCCATAATTGGGCTATACTGTTTTATATTAGGAATCCGGTTGAAGCCCTACATGACTGAAATGGGCATATCAGATGGTAGACTGGGTGGGCATAGCCCCTCCCCAATGGCTGCCATGGAGACCTAAGTCCTAGTCTGTGAAGGGCAGGCTCTGCTGAGTTAATGTGCAGCTGAGGTCAGCCCGACCCCAATTAAAATCCTTTCCCCTGGATTATGGCTTCTCACTGGCCTGACGGGTTGCTGGTTCATTGCAACTCAGTCCCAGTACCTGTTTATTCTCTCCAAGCAAGGAAAGCAGTGCCTCCTCCCTTCTACAGCCTTGCTTGGCACCACTGCTGGATGTTTCACACAATATCACTAGATGTCTTCAAAGCATACCCTGCTCACCTTCTCATGCCTGTAATCAGTTAAGTACTGGAAGTCCTTGGCACTTTTGGTCTTTGTTGCCAGAGCAGCATAGATCAGTCCAAGACCCAGTCTTCTCTCCAAGTTGGGTCTCTTTTCTTTGTTCTTATTAGCTTGCACTGTATTGCCTCACAGGAGACTCAGATCTACTGCACGGATTTTCGGTAACGTTCTTGTTCCCTATAATACACAGGATGGGTTTTGCCAATCACAATAATCTGATTTCTGCCCCTCTCCTCGGTCTGCTCTGAGGACCTGGTCACTGCAGGTCTCCCTGCCCATGCAGTTCAGATCCTGGGGTCTGTGGTCTCTACTTGTCCTCAGACTGCACTGTCCCAGTCACTGTGACCTGAGGCTTTGTCTTGCTAATTCTCCATCACTCTCCTCATATGTATCCTGATGATCCCTGATCTATGCTTTTCCACATAGTCCTCCCAGTGCTGGGGACTGAATCAGGGCAAGTGTTATACCACTGAGCCACAGCCATACCTTCCATATACATTTAAAGCAGCATGTTAAATTCCTAAAAACAAAAACAAAAAAATCCTTTTTGGATTTTGATTGAAATTTAATTGCATTTGTGCATCAGTCTGGAAAGGTTTGGCATTTTTACAATTCTTTGTGTTTCTCTCCATGAATGTGATATCTCTTCATTTAGTCTGATCTTTTGGTACTATTTAACTTACAATTAAAGGCAAGTTTTTAAAAAGGTCAGCTTTTTGTTATTGATTTCAAGCCAACTGCTTTGAGATAAGCACATGGCTTATTTGACTTCTGTCTGAAAGACACTGAGATCTGTTCTATGGCCTAGTTTGTGAGTTTGGTAATGTTTTTGGGTCGGATGTCACAATCAATACATGTCAGTTGGATCAAGACCCTCACAGCTGTGGGTAGCCTCTGTATACTGCTCACCTGACCTGTTATTCTCGGATGTCAAATTCTTCCTCAGGTTCCTTTTGGTCAGTATTTTCCACGCATATTTATTTTGATTCTTTTAATTTTGGGGTTCCTTATGCTATAGGTGCCTCTCATAAAAGAAAAAAATTTTCCATGTTTGTGTAGCTAGTTTGTCTATTTGTTTAGGTTTTTAAAAATATAGTCTGAGAGCCTTTCTTTCTTTCTTTCTTTCTTTTTTTTTT